CAGCGCCTGGCTCCAAGCTTTTTTCTTTATCAGTATACTTTTGTGATGTTGTGAATGTTAGAGATGATAAATATTCAAGAGTAGTTGATGGTATGACTGCCAGACTGGGAGTTACAAATCCTAAATCTTTTGCATACTTTTGTCCCCAAGAATTGGTGATTGGACCCATAGCCTCAAGCTTGCTAGGCAAGTGCTCTACCCATTGAGCCATGCTCCAGTGGAAATCTGCTTTCATCGTGTGTGTGTGTGTGTGTGTGTGTGTGTGTGTGTGTGTGTGTGTGTGTGTGTGTGTGTGTGTGTGTGTGTGTGTGTGTGTGTGTGTGTATTCTGATGCTCAAACTTGGGGCCTCTCAATCTTATTATTTTGCTCAAGGCTGGGGCTCTATCACTTCCAGCTGTTTTTTGCTGGTTAACTGGAGATAAGACTCACAGATTTTCTTGCCCTGGATGGCATCGAACTGTAATCCTCAGATCACAGCCTCTTGAATAGCTAGGATAATAGGTATGACCCACCAGCATCCAACTGTTCTGTGTCTCTGCATATGTGAGTCACTGTCTTTAGATAGAGACTGGATAACCTGTGGGGACCTTTTCTAAAAGCTTTAATATTTTTCACTTTCAGAAGCTAAAGCAGTAGATAGATGCTGTTTCTTTGGGGGGAAAAAAAGGGGAATCAAATTGGACAGATTTTGTTTTTGTTTTGTCAGTCTTGAGGCCTGAACTCAGTGGCCTGGGCACTGTCTCTGAGCTGCTTTTGCTCAAGGCTAGCACCATATCACTTGAGCCACAGTGCTGCTTCCAGGTTTTTCTGATTATGTGGTACTGAAGAATCTAACCCAGGGCTTCATGCATATTAGGCAAGCACTGTACCACTAAGGCACATTCCCAACCCAAATTGGACAGATTTATATGAAGTAAAATGTTAAAAACTTCTGTCCTTCGCTACCATTCTTGTTTCCAAGGTAATACTTGATACCCGTTAATTGTGTCCTTTCCAATGTATTAAATATATGCAAGTATACTGGGCATAGTGACACACAAGCCTGTAATTTAAGCACTCAGGAGACAGAAGCAGGAAGATTATGAGTTTCAGACCAGCCTGGGCTACATAGTGAGTCCCTGTCTCGAAAGATAATACACCAATAGAAATATATACATAATCCCCATTATGCATGCACATATATATGTATATATATTATGCATGCATATATGTGTGTGTATATATGTATATATATTTATACACACACACACATGTGTTTTTTATGTACACTGGAATTCCCTCAGCATGGCGTTAGTGTACTGGAATCCATCAAACATGGTCTAGGCTCTTTCACTTGTTTTAGCTATCTTTTGTCAGTACTTAAAGATTTACTTGTTTTTAATTCTCTAATTTATTTAGTCTCCTACTGATTACCTGCTATTTTTTTTCAGTTTTGGGGCTTGAACTCAGGGCCTAGGTGCTGTCCCTGAACTCTTTTGCTCAAGGCTAGGGCTCTACCACTTGGAGCCACAATGCCACTTCCGGTTTTTAAGTGGTTAATTAGAGATAGTCTCAAAGGGACTTCTGCCAGGGCTGGCTTCTAACCGTGATCCTCAGATCTTAGCCCCCTGAGGAGCTAGGATTACAGTTGTGAGCCACCAGTGCCCAGATCCTGCTGTAATTGTTTTTGTTCTTGCCAGTCTTGGAGCTTGAACTCAGGGCCTGGGCTCTGTCCCTCAGCCTCTCTGGGCTCAAGGCTAGCACTCAACCACTTGAGCCACAGTGCCACTTCTGGCCTTTTCTGTTCATGTGGTACTTAGGAATCGAACCCAGGATTTCACACATGCTAGATGAACACTCTACCACTGAGCCACATTCCCGGCCTCCTGCTGTATTTTTTAAAGCAGGTACTTACCCACACTGTTGAATTTTTTAATTTTCTTTTCAGGAAAAGAAGAAAAAGAAGCATCGAGACAGGAAGTCATCTGACTCTGATAGCTCAGACTCGGACAGTGACACTGGCAAGAGGGCAAGGCATGCCTCAAAAGACAGCAAGGCATCAAGGAAGAAGAAGAAGAAGAAGAAGCACAAGAAGAAGCACAAGGAGTGAGCAGAGAACAAGTGGGGGTGAGGGGAGAATGAGGGCCAGGAGCTCTGTGCTTGATGCTCTGGTTCCTGGAAAGACTCAGTAGTGAGAAGGTGGCCTCCCACCCCATTGACTTTTCTCCCAGAAATGGCTTCTTCATGCAGCAGGCAGATTTGGGAGCTAGAGGCCAAAAGCAGCTGCCTGAATTGAGTTTTCTATTGTTCCTGATTCCTTTGCAAGTGACCCCTGCAACCCACCCACTCATTCACCTAGCTTCTTTCATACAGCTGCCACTGCCAGAGCTGGCTTCCTTTGCAGTCCAGTCTTGAGCCACAGGAAGTGCTATAGAGGTGAGCCTGGCTGTTGCTGGGGATGTGATGGACCCCTTCCTGTTGGTCTGTATTGGCCAGTTTGTAGGTAGTCTCTGCTGCCTCATCCAGGGTGGGAGCAGGAGGCAGGAGGCCGGCAGCAGGTGGGAGAACATGGGAAGGAGTGGCATTCACTCTTTCCATTCCCTCAACATGGTTCCCCTGAGCTAGAAGTGACAACCAGAAAACAGTCATTTGCAGTGTGACTTATCTTGTGTATGACATTCCAGCAGACCACTAAACCAGACATCGGAAGTCAAGATCATTGCTCTATTTTCTATTTATTACTATTTGAATCTAATTGTACTTCAGGCCTCTGCTTAAATTCCTGGCACTAAATGGAAGTGTTTGGTTTTAAATTTGCCAAAAGCCCTTATTCTTATTATCCTTGTCTCTGAGTAACTTAACAGACTTAAAAGTCATTGACTGTGCACTAGCTGACAGAATAGCATTTGGTATGTTACCTAAGTCCTTTGAGAAGGTCCCAGCTGAAGTACAGAGGAGAGGAGCTAGCAGGTCACTGCCTTCTTGGGAGCTCACTTTTAAGCCCTTCCTTCAGATGACCTTTTACCCCAGAATCTTCTTTACGAATCAGATGACCTTTTCCCCAGAGTCCTTTAGAGAACAAGGAAGAGTTTGGAACCTCGGGTACTAGGCTGAGGCATGGGTGGGAGCTGAGCATTGGGTCTTAGGCAGTAATGATCTCCCACCAGAGTGGCACAAGCCTGGACCCAAGGTTATTAGAACAGGACCAGCTTGGGGAAGCTGCAGCACTGAGGGAACTAGCTCATTTAAGATGACATCTAGGTGGAGCTATTCCATTATTGAATGTGTAAGACAGTCTGACTTGATGGCCCTGAGACATTATTAGTCCATTTCAGTTTCTCATCCAGGACTTCTTCCAGAGAGCCTTCAGGCAGCCATACAGGGGAAATGATTCTCAGAGCCATGTCACGAACAGCAAATGGTGCTGGGGTGGCCTTCGTTCTGCTTTATTGACCTCAGAGTACCCTTTGGTACTTTGGATATCATTTAGAAAACAAAAGAAACACATACACAGTGGGAGGAGGAACTCGATCTAGACTGGTGCCACTTGACCCCAAAGAATTCCCCAACCAAAGTAGATTTATATAAAATGCCAGAGGAAAAATATGAGGCAATGTGGTGCTGAGCCAGTTGGCAGAGGGGCAGTCCATGATGGTGTGGGCAGGTCACGCCTCCTTCTCATAGGTTCGAACGCTCACTGCACTGCCATGGGTGAGTGTCTGGAAGGAAAGACAGAATCAGATGGGGTGGAGCAAGGTGGGCCTCGCATCCCCTCTCCCCTTATCCAGTGATCATCACCTGAGGTCCTGCTGTGTGCAGGGCACCTGACATATGTGTTTGTTCTGATGTAAGTCTTTTAAAAATATGCATCATAATCCTGTTTTAAAGGTGTGGAAAATGAACCTAGAAAGAGGCATTCCTCTTCTACCATTCAGCTTCCTTCAAGCTTAGCATGGAAGATAGTGCCTGGCACATAGTACACAGAGATGGAGGAAGTGTGCAAAGAGGGTTGGAGACATGGCTTAATGGTAGAGAGCCCTCCTAGCAGGTTCAGCCTCACAAAAGAAAGAGTCAGAGACACTTGAGAAGCAACTGTGCTAAGTAAGGTGCCAACTCTCCCTTCCCCCAAACTCAGGGCAGTATCAGGACCCAGGCCCTGAGCCCTCATTTCAGTCTGGCATATAGAGCCAAGTGCATGATCTCACTGTAGAGTGACCAACGAGTATTTGGTCCTGTATTTTATATCCCCACAAAGCTGGACCCCTCACTCCCAACCCTTTGAGGACCCCAGCTTCATATGAGTGCCAGAAGGCAATCAGCACATTCTGCTGACCCAAGGATGTCAGCAGTGCAGAGGCGCACCAAGTGGTTGCTCCCGGGTCCAAGTACAGTCTCCAAACAGATTTGTGGTCCCCGACATCAACCACACACTGAGAGGTGGGCCTGGGATAGAGAGGGGCTCCTGCCAGTCAGTGCCTTCCTGGATCACCAGCCTGCGCTGCACGTGATCATGCAGGGATGCTGGGATGGGAAGAGGGAGCTGCTTCTAGAGAGCCCTGCTTTCTGCCTGGAGGGGGTGAGGCAGCAACAGGAGGGAGAAATTAAGGCTGTGGGTCACCTCTGTTCCTCCCACCTAGGGAGGATGCTTTCTGCTACGAACACACGATCTCTGTTTCAGAGTTCTCTGCAGCTTGCAAAGGTTGCTTTAGTGATTGATTGCTCATTTTACACTCTCACGAAAAGTGAGGCTTTAATCTTCGCCCATTGTGACGCCAAAGTCATGACCCTGCCTCTCCTATCCCATCTGTGGTGCCTTTCAGGGAGGCTTTGACTTTGTAGAACAGGCTTTGCTGAAGGGGCAGTGTAGTGACTAAGCAGCAGAGGCTCCCAACTTGCCCGTCTTACCAGGATGAGTTTTCCGTCACTTAGTTCCCGCACAAGCGTTGTCTCTTGCCCATCCCACTTCTGCACATGGATAAGTTTGCCTCCATCCAGCCTCACAATGGACTGTGGAAAGAGGGTTGAGGCATGAGCAGTGATCTTAAGCCAGGATTGAGGGGCAGGATGGGTTCAGGGCCACAGAAGACAACCTCTGACCCCAACTCTAGTGACAGTGCCAGGAGCAGAGCTCAGGCAGCCTGCCTCCATCCTAGCCAAAGTCGGATGTTCAGGTTGTCCTCAGCTTCTGGTCCACAGTTGACTGACAAGGGGAGGGGCCTAAGATAGGGAATACATAGAGAATACATAGAGGCAGTATGGCAGAGCCAGAGCGCCCCGCCCAGAAGTACCATGATCCTCCAAAATGGAGGCATTTGTGCTGAGGTAAGGTACATGTGTAGCATGTGTGAGACCCTGGCACCAATAAAAATAAATAAGGGCCATGGCCCCAGTTCCCTCGTATAAAGACCCTGTCCCTGTCCCTGAGAAGGATACTGTGGAGGAGTCCTGGGAATCTCCAGCCTTGTGTCTGTCATTGCTCAAATGTCTAAATTCCTTTTTTTTTTTTTTTGGTCGGTTGTGGGACTTGAACTCTGGGCCTGGGCGCTATCCCTCAGCTCTTCAGCTCAAGGCAAGTGCTCTACTACTTGAGCCATAGCACCACTTCCAAATGTCTAAATTCCTTAAAAGATTCTTCTAAAGGACTTCCACTTCTGGTCATGTCCTCCCTTCAGCGGGCAAGGTCTCAGAACTGTGTCCTTGGAGTGTTCCTCAGCCCTGGCTCAAAAGCACTTAGCCCTCTGGGTGCTGCCAGCATGCATCAGCTGGTTCCCATTGGCAGCTCTCCCAGGTCTCCTCTAGGAATTTAGGGGGATAGGCCAGTCTCAGGAGCCTTGACTTAACTGGGTTCACTAGGAGACTGGGAAGGTTGTGAATATGTTGGGGTCACTCATTTCTTGCTGTCCTATCTGTATACCACTTTACCCCTGGTTCTCATTCCCCTATGTTTTTGCCACTCAGATTAGATTGGCCAATAGAAGGCCATAGTGTCTCATTGGGGTTCTTGTCCCTCTGTGGTTGGCAGCCACCTTCATCCTAGGGAAGCTACCATCTCTGGGCACTATCTCAGCTCTACTGCCAACCTGCTGTGTGATCCCAGGCTGGGCTATAGCTCTTCTTCCTTTGTAAGCAGACCAGCCCCTACCCTGTTCCTGGAGGCAACTGAGAGGAAGAAGAAACAGTGAGGAGCTGAATTTCAGGGTCATGGGGTAGAGGATGCTGCTGTAGGGCTGCCCTGTCAAAGCAAGGCTCCTGGTTTTCTCTCCCCTGCGGTCCCAGTGCTGGATGCCTGAGGCAAGCTGCCAAGACAGGCGCCATGGGCTGACCGCTGAAACTGGAGCTATGTGCCTCCCAGCCACCCCTGGGAAAGGGAGCAGATACCCAGGACCACATGAATACCCATTCTAGGGCATAGCTCTGCCTATCTTCACTACTGGCAAAACCTGGGAGCTTCAGCTTGCAGAAGAGGAGGCACCTGAGTAGGGCTCAGCCTCTTGTTGCCCGGTGCCATCTTTGTTGCCAGAGGCCTGGATGACCTCTCTCAGGAAAGGGCCTTGGCTTCTGGGCATCGTTCCTAAAGCACTTGAGGTCACAGCCTTGACCACATAACTCCTCCATCTATGGAAGAGGAGAGCAAGCCAGGGCTGCATACCTTGCACAAGGTCACCCAGCTGGGGCCTCAGAGACACTGAGGTTAGAAGAACATCCTGGCTCCAGGTGCTGCCCACTCCCCAGCAGCCAGCAGGGCTTCCCAAAGAGGGAGAGGGCCCTGGGGCACCCCAGCACTGAGCAGCTTTGTGACCTTGTTTTACTTAAACCCTCAGTGTTCAGCATCAAGGAAGCTAGCAGCCAGCCAGCCAGCCAGTCCCTTCAGGGTCTCAGCACCCTCTTCCTCCCCTTCCCCTCTCACTCTCCTCACTCACCTTGACCTTCCTGTCATCAGCTGTGGTCTCATCAAACTCCACCTCCAGCTGAAAGCTGACCTCCAGGTTCTTGAAGGTGCTGTGTGTCTTTATGGTGATAATGTCTCCATTCTTCTCAATGATTGTGGTAGGTTTGGTCATACATGCCACCTGCCTAGTAGCAAAGCCCACACCTGAGGGTGGGGAAAGGGAAGGTTAGGAGTATAGGAGCTTGGGCAGGGAGGCACTGTACAAAAACTCCAAGAGTAACTGCTGTCAGGAAACAAGTATTTATTGGGCTGGGAAGGTGGCTCAGTGGTAGAGTGCTTGCCTTGCATGCATGAGGCCCTGGGCTCGATTCCTCAGCACCACATAAGCAAAAAAGAAAAAAGCTGGAAGTGGCGCTGTGGCTCAAGTGGTAGAGCACTAGCCTTGAGCTGAAGAGCTGAGGGACAGCGCCTAGACCCAGAGTTCAGGCCCCATGACCGGACCCCCCCCCCCCACACACACAAAGTATTTATTTTTGGCAGGAGTTTGAACTCAAGTTGAGCCTCATGCTTGCTAGACAGGCTCTCTGCTACTTGAGCCACACTTTTTTTCTTTAGTCATTTTTCAGATAACAGGCTTAAGTTTTTCTCCCGAGTCAGCCTCAAACTCTGATCCTCCTGCCTTTGCATCCCAATAGCTGGGATCATAGGAGTGAACTACCTCACCTAGCTTATTTGATGAGATGGAATCTTACATTTTGCCTAGGCTGATCTGAACCTGAGCCTCTCTCCCCACAGTCTCTGCCTCCTGAGTAGCTGGGGTTACAGGTATGGGCATCCAGTTCCACTCTCAGAGCCTTTGTGTGACTATTTTATTCAGTCTCCCTCAGTTCCGTGTGCCCAGTAGACAGATGGGAAACAGGCCTGCCACATCAAGTTAGTAAAATTGCCGAGATGAGAATAAGGTACTGACTACTTTAGATGGTAAGACTCCAAAATATGATACCTGGCTCAGACCTTCCTGTCCCCTTGAAGGGCTGATATTTTATTTCCATTTTGTAGATGTAAATACAGAGCTGGATATAAGCCCAGGTTACAAATAAGACTGAAGCCCTGGGCTCTTTTGGCTCCAAAGCCCTTTTAACTGCCCAGCCGCACCATGACCTGAGGCAGAGCACCAGGCACCTGGACAGTTCTACCTGTGGGCTGGAGCGAGGATAAGCAGTGTGCTTAGCTCCATTCCTAGGCTGAGGTGAGGCCAGTATGGTGAAGTGGAGTGTCAGCTCTCTGAAGGTGCCAGTCACAGTGCTTGCTGGAAGGTGTACTATATACACTCCTCGTAGTGTTGCACTTAGTTCTGAGACAAGCCCTGAGAGTAGGCTTTATGATTCAGTTTACAAATCATGCTCAATAAGCAAGGTGTCTGGTCCGAGATAGGAGTAATTAACCTAGATTTTCAGTGTCCACCTATTCCTACTGTCTTGCTCTGCACAGCCTGCATTCAGTCCAAGCACCAAGGTCCCCAGATGTGTCTGTGACCTCTGGTAAAGCTGGGCCTCTAGCAGAGGCTGAGAAACCTGGGTTTATGGCCAGAGGGGCTTCTACTGCCCCAGTGCTGATGCAGCCCACCGGCCTTTCGGCTGGGAGCCTTGACTTGGCTTTGCTTCATGGTAGCAGAGTGAGTTGCGCCAGCCACATAGTCTAGCAACAAAGCAGGGCTTCGTCACTGAACCAGGAACTGTCTGCCTAGAGCCTACTTCGAGGTGGGAGTGTTTTAGGAAGAAAACACTTATGCTGTCCCAAGAGAAACTAAGCAAACTGGCTGACAGAATTTAGACTTAAAAGAGGTGGGTTCCAATTAGGAATGAAGCCAAAGCTATTTACTGAGAGCTGCGTGGGCTTTTCGCTTTAGTGGGCCTTAACTTTTCCATTTGTGTGGTGAGGAAAGCTGGCTGGCTGGAATTTCGGCTTCCTAACCTAAGCTGCCCTGGGCTAGATGTGCTGTTCAGTAAGCACATAGGAGAGCATGTGCTTAGCATGCCCGATGCTGGCTTCAGACCCCCACAGTGCATAGATACACGAAAACTGTGCAAACATAGTGGGGTTTCTGGAGACCTGTTCTCTAGTCCATATTAGAGCAGCATGAGGGAACAAGGCTGATATGGCTGCCACAACTCAGCTCAGGGACTCAGGTGTTTGACCCTGTGTTCTCTTTGAGAACAAAACCTTGACAGTCCAGTTTTTGCCTAGGAATTCTTAAAAATGGTTGTCTTAGCCGGGTGCTGGTGGCTCACACCTACTAGTAGTCCTAGCTACTCAGGAGGCTGAGATCTGAGGATCGCAGTTCAAAGCCAACCCGGGCAGGAAAGTCCGTGAGAGTCTCATCTCCAATTAACCACCAGAAAACTGGAAGTGGCGCTGTGGCTCAAGTCGTAGAGTGCTCACCTTGAGCTAAGAGCTGAGGGACAGTGCCCAGGCCCAGAGTTCGAGAACCACAAGCAGAAAAAAAAAAAGAATGGTTGTCTAATGGCTGGAGGCATGGCTCAAGTAGTAGAGTGCCAGTCGAGTCTCTGATTTCAAACCATGATACTGCCAATATAACAACAACAAAATTGCCCTAGCTGGGTGCCAATATTTCACTCTTGTAATCTTAGCTACTCAGGAGACTGGGATCTGGAGAACTTTGTTAGGAGGCCAACCTGGATCTCGGAGACACTACATATCCAAAATAACCAACACAAAAGTTGGGCTGGAGGTGTGGCTCAAGTGACAGCACTAGCTGAGCAAGTACAAGTTCCTGAGTTCAGATCCCAGTATAAGCCTGGCACTGATGGCTCATGCCTATAATCCTAGCTACTCCAGAGGCTGAGATCTGAGGACTGAGGTTTGAAACCTACCTGGAGAGAAAAGTTCATGAGACTCTCCAAATAGCCAGCAGAAAGTGGGAAGTGGAACTGTGTGGTTCAGATTGGTAGAGTGCCAGCCCTATATATAAAAACTAAAAGGCAGTGACTAGACCCTGAGTTCAAGCCCCAGTACTGGCACAAAACAAATCCTGGTAAAAGTTCAAACCCTAGTACCATCAAGAAGAAGAAGGAGAATGGAAGAATTGCTGCCTTACTGTTGCTCAGTGAAATCCTAGAAGGGATCATTTGTTTGAGGCCAGCCCAGGCAGTAACCAATAAAGAATAGGTATGGTGGTACATACCTTTCATCCCAGCTAGGCTAGAAGAATAAAGATTTCAGTCTCCTGGGTTAATTAATAGAGCACTTTGCTCTGAGTTCAAACCCCCCAATACTGTCCTCCCCCAAATGGCTGCCTCCCTAGAACCAATGGGCACCATGCCCCAGGATGAGGTAGGTTCCACTGAGAGCTAGGGCCTCCACAGCTACACTAAGCCTTGTCCAGGATAGGACCAGAAGCGGAGAGGAGACCGATCCTTAGACACACTTTTCCTATCTTCTGTGATCCAGGCCTGTTTCCTTTGGAGGAAGTCCTGCGACCTAGCACAACAGTGACTACCAGTCCTGCCCAGTCTTCACTCTCCAGGGCTGGTGAACTAGGACAGTGCAGCCAGGAATGTTAGGGAAAGGATGCCATCATCCTATCTCAAACCAGGAGAGCAGCTCAGCCGGCCTCTGGGTAAGCAATTCATACCACCCCTCCCTCTCCTGGGGCCTACAGTGTAGCCAGAAGGGCTGTGGGCTGTAGCTCTAGATCCTGTTTTCTTAGTTCTGCTGTGGGATTTTTTTTTGGGGGGGGTGGTCATGGGTCTTGAGCTCTAGGTCTGGGTGCTGTCCCTCAGTTCTTCAGTTTAAGGTGAGTGCTCTACCACTTGAACCACAGCACCACTTCCAGTGTTCTGGTGGTTTATTGGAGATAAGAGTCTCACAGACTTTCCTGCCCTGGCTGGCTTTGAACTGCGATCCTCAGATCTCAGCCTCATGAATAGCTAGGATTACAGGGGTGAGCCACGGTCACCTGGCTTGGAATTTTTTTTTTTAATGACAATTTTCCATCCTTGGACCTTTCACTGTTCAATAGTCCAGGTATGAGAGCTCCAAGGTCCTTTACTTGTAAGATTCTTAGAAACTGTTCTCCATGCCAACACCAACCACACTGCTTTCTACCTCCTCCTAGGCTAGTGACCCATAACAGGTCTAGGCTTTACTCTGGGAACTTCTGCTGCACCCCAGACATCCAGTGGCTGTTCTGCACTGAACAGGCCAGCAGGGAAAGCCTGGGTGGGGATGGGCCTCTAGCCACACCCTATCACTAGACTCCTGGGCAGCCAGTAAGTCTTGATTACTTACAGGAGGGGGGAGGGAACGGGCGGGGAGACAAGGTCAGCGTGGTGAGAAGGAGGGCACCTTCCCTAACCCTGGTCTCTTCACCCACAATCTATTCACCTGTTCTTACTGAACCTCCTGTTTTGGGGGATAGCACACTCCCTGTCTACCCCATTCCCTTTCCAGACTCAGCCGCGGACCCCCACCCCCATCCCCACTCCAATTTCCCGGCCACCCGTGTCTCGGTTAATTTTTTTCCCCAGCCTCCTGCGCGCTAGTGCTCTCTATCCATCCACCTCCTCCCAGTCCAGATCCGGTACCCCGCTTCCTAGAAAGCACGGGGGCACCCAGCACCAGCGTACAGCGCCCTCCTCCCCGCCCATCCCTGCCCGGGTTGGGTGCCCTTGCCACGCGCCGGCCCCCGGGACGCAGGAGGCAGGCGCGCGGAG